CCGAGCGGACAGCGCAGCCTCCCCAGCCAGTAGCCCAGCTGGGAGGGGCCGAGACGCCAGGTGGCCCTCAGGACCTAAGCCCAGAGCTGGCTGCCCCCTCCTCCCGTCCCTTCCCTGTTCTAGTCTCATCCCAGAGGCACAGGCTTGGTAGCAAGTCCGGGTAAATACAAGATAAATTTCAAAAAGTAAAGCATTCCGTCCCCCTTCCCCGCCCAGATAACAACAGAGTCCAGGCATCTGAAAAAAAATTCTGACCTCCTACAATCCGTGCTGGGATCTAAAAGAAGTCTCTGCTGCTGGGAGTATAAATTAGTGCATTCTTTCCAGGATGCGGTTTGGCAAGATGAATTTAAATCCTTAAGAACGGCCATAAGCTTTCTGAATTAGTAATTCCTTTCTAGCATCTAACTTAAGGAAATAAACTGGCAAGAAGGATTTATACACAAGGTTCAGAGAAGTGTTGTTTATGATAATGAAAAAATTAGAAAGACTACAAAAGATTAGAAAGATGTGTGCCAGAATGCCAATCGTGGTAACTTCTACATTTACAGACAACTTATTTTCTTTAGGTTTCTGTAATTTTACATTTTCCCCAATAGGCATTTAGAACTTCTCTGGTCAGAAAGAAACAAGACGTCTTTTAAAAAGCACGAACATGAAGAGAAAGAAAAAAAGACAGAGAACTGCCTTATTAATCTTCCATGATGGGACCTAAGCAGGGCCTTAGGGAGCCTCACCTGGTTCAAACAGAAACTGGAAAATCATTTACCAAAATTAGAGATCTCCGCCCCCCCCTCGCCACACCCCACATATTGAGTAATTGTCTCAAACCTTGACTTAGCTGTGAGTTACAGCTCAGTTGATAAAATCCTGTATATTTCTCACCTTTCCCCTCTTCCAACTACACTGTGTCATTCCCCTTCGGAAGCTACCAACATCTGATCCGTAAATAATTTGATATTCACCAGACACAGTTGTAATTTTCCAGCCTGTGGGTTTCCACATGCCATGTGGATTCCACCAAAAACTCACATTTACTTGGGGCAGGACCAGGGGATGTTGCCAAAGAGCTAACAAAAGCTCCAAGGTCTTTGGGCAGAGCCCTGGCAACGGAAGGCTGCCGGTGAGTAACTCGGAGAAGTGTGCGCAACCTCTGCCCTCCCCATCCCCACCCCCTTTGTGAGGTCTTCTCATAACAGACACGTGCAGCCTTCCATTTTGAATATTTTAATTAGAAAGGTACAAAACATCATGGTTCTTTATACAAGTTCTGCCTGAAAATAATTTAACAAAATGCAAAGCGGTGTTAATTCATGTCTTTAGCTATCTTCCCGTTTCTCCTTACCTTTTTGTGATTCAAACCAGAAACCATTTTTCATTTAAATCCCAAGAAAAAATGTGTAGGTATATAAACAGCCCTAGATAGTAAAAGACAAGGCAGAGGGGCCAGTGTTAAGCTAGTTTTGTGCTTGAATACTTCAAAGCGGCTGTTTCCAAAACTCTTATCTTGGTCAGCCTGAAAGAAAAGGTGCTTTGGAAATGAGAACTGAATCTCCAAGGTAAACTGAGGCATACACGTGTAGAGGAGTGTGTGGGTGGGTGGGCCTGAAGCATGGTTCAGAGCAGGCGTGTCTCCAGTGCCAGTGACATCTTGGGATCATAAAGCAGATCCATCTGTCCTTTGAGGACAGCTCATTTCCTCAGGCCAGGAACGGCGAAGTAGCCTTCCGTGTGCAACAGAGGCCCATTTCAGCAGTCCCATCCTGATGACACTCACTTAGGCAGGAGGTTGATCCTGTCGGACCGCTTGTCATTCTGCTAACAACCAGGCCGGATTAGGCTGTCCTGGGCGGGCAAGCATCCTCTTTACCCCCTCAGTGCACCTTGTTCGTTCTCCCCAAAGCTGCTCACTCTGACGGGCACCCTGTCCCTTCATCACAGGAAATACAAGTAGCTGAGTCTCCTGCTAGCCCTCCAAACAAACTCTGTGGTTGTTGGCAGTGGGAGCCAATACCAACAACAGGTCCTCTGTCACCCGCGTCCTTTTCAAGAAGTGGGGGAGGGCTGTCAAGGAGGAGGAGTGGCAAGTGTCCAGGCTGTTGGGTAAGGGCCAGAGAGAAAGAAACTATTGTTACAATCCTTACTTCCCCCACTGTTGCGGAGGGGACTGTGAACGAAAGAGCACTCTGGCTTCAGCCTGCTGTTCCAGGGGCACAGACAGGGCAAAAGGCAGGGCACAAAGCCAGCCACAGCAGGGCAGGGATAAAGGGCTGCTCAGCCCAGCTGATGACAGACCACTGTCTGTTAGCCTGAGGGCAGGTGGATGGTCCCGGTGTCCTGGAGTCGCCCACCGGACACGTGTGCGTGCATGTGCTCTCCAGCGCTCCCTTTCTCTCGCTCCCATTCTCCCCCTCAAGGACCTCTCAGTGCTGGAAACCAAAGTTCTGACTGGGAAATTTAGATGCTCAGGAGTGGAAAGTGCTACTGATTTGCATATCTCTCACAAGAGAGGCCTGAAAAGAGTAAAAAGTGGTTTACAATAGTGGGAAGAAATGCATAGCATGTTTCTCAGTTCAAGAGAGGAAAAGTCTTTGCTTGACCAGAGATGGGACTCTTTCCAAGAGTTCTGAAATGACTACAGTTTTCTCCTGAAATTCAAGTCTAAGGCAAAAAAAAAAAAAAAAAAAAAAAAAAAAGCAAATTATAGCCTTCAGGAACCTCTGGATGTTTCCACAAACTAGTCCCTGAAGATTGTGGAGGTGCTTAGAAGACATGGAATTTGCGTAGAGAAAACTTACAACGGATTGTCCTTTGTCTCTGATAGGAAAAGGACACGCACGGGCACGTGTCCATGAGGAGCTCTTTGCAAAAATTTCTTAAGATGGCCGTTCCCAGAAGACAAGGCTGAGGTAGCCAGGGTCCTGCTTAGTTCTCAGAAATGGTCTTCTTATGATAAGTGCTCCTTATACAGTTCTCCCTGGGGCATTATGGTGACAGGGATCGTGGTCACCACCTGATTCTGAAACACAAATCTCTTGATTCTTTCAAACACCCAGAGGAAGATAAGCAGGATACTGACATACTGGATCCAGGCAAACTTTATCATTTCCCAGAATCCTGGTAGATAAGTACAGCCAGTTAAGGAGTCACAGATGATATTTTCTAAGTGGAAGTTAAGCCAAAGGTTTAGTTTAGACAGGAAATGGCAAAAATGTTTCAAATGCCCTTATGATAAAAGGGACGATAGAAGATTATTAATACATACATATGGATGATTCTGGTCTGAAGAATCGTCCAGAGATATGAAGAGGAAATGAGGTTGTTTTTTTTGTTTGTTTTTTGTCCCTGCACGAACAGCAGACGGAGTCGTTTAAGCAATTTCCAATCTGAGGCTTCCCATATCTGTCCCTTCTTGGGACAAGGGAGGCACTTTCCTGTTTTTGAAACTGAGCTACTATGGCTCTTTAACAGAAAGGATATGAAATGACTTCCACTGGGTACCGGATGATGGCGTTAATCACAAATGGAGCCTCGGCGGCCCTTCCCACCAGCCAGATGGGGTTGGAGTCCATCAGGACGGTGGTTACTGCAACACAAGCAGGAGCTAAATCAATCCATGAATGGTCTCTCAATAAAATAATAAGGACTATCAAAGTACTCTTTGACCCCTCATGCAAATTCTGCACATCAGAACTTTTCCCAAAAAAATGACTCCGAAGGAAAGAGAATTGACTGTGCAAAGCTGCTCACAAATTATTTGTTGAAACACTTGTCAAAATATTTACGTTACAAACTTGGAACCGTCTGTGTGTTCTTCCACTGTTGAATGGCTAAGCAAAGGAATACTATGCTACCACTAAAAATAATACCAATTAAAACTTCGTAGTAGCGCAGGGAAATATTTACATTACGAAGTACAAAAAAAAAAAGTTGGATCCTAAAATGTTTTATAAACTATGATAAGAGCTGTATAAAAAAATCTGCATATGGACAAAGACTGGAAGAAATAAAGAAAGAAAAGTTGTAGATGAGTGTTTTTGTTTTAACATTCCTCTGGTTTGGGAATAATGCCACCAGTGTATTACAAAAATTCAGGAAGAAGTACTGGGATTGCGGTCCTCACAACTTGATAAATGTGTGTGGGTGGTATCTACGATGTCCGGCTGCCACGTAATGCTTCAGATGCCTTTAGAGGAAACCTCAGACGGCCAACCAGACCAATGTGCTGAGTCAAGCACACACACTGGCCCGAGAGCCTTTCCTCTGTGAGGGATGGACACGCTCAGCGTTCCAGCCAGAACGCCGGGCCCCCTGCTCTACTTCAGCTGCTTATTTGGGGGTAAGTCAGTCACATTCCCTACTTCTAGCTGAAAGCCAGGGTTAGCAATTTGTCTTTGGCTCCTTTTACAGGTGTGGTGGGGGAGCAACTCAATTAGGCGTTTACAGAAAAAAAGAAATCCATCAAGCTAGTGATCAATAAACATGGGACATAAATGAGCACTCACCTGCTGGACGTTAAGGGTAGCAGTGGCAGGGGCGGGGTGCGGGGTCTTTAGATCAGGAGGAAAAGGACAGACCCTGGGTAGCCTGTCCCCCTCCCATCACTGAGTAGTCACTGGCTTGGACATTTTTATCATGACAAGAGCTCCAGTTGTGGTTTTGTCCAATGTTCCCACTGACCTGGAAGGTCCTGGAGAAGCAGCTGAATGCATTGTACCCATGACTCACCATTCCTGTCCCGGTAAGCGGCAACAATGTGGGTGAGGTCATAGTCACGGGCAAAAGGGCTGGTCCCGTTGATTACAGACACCTGGGATGTGGCAGGAGGGTGTGGAGTGAGCCCCCAGCCACTTTTCCACTCATCCTTCTCTCCTCCCACCCACCCACAGCTGAGACTGGCCTCTCGTGCATGGTGGACTGCTCAGGCATCAGTAACCCTTTCTTCAAGGATGGATGACCTCCCGTGCAACAATTTTTTCTAATGTTTATTTATTTTTGAGAGAGAGAGAGAGTGGGAGGGGCAGAGAGAGGGAGACACAGAATCTGAAGCAGGCTCCAGGCTCTGAGCTGTTAGGACAGAACCCGATGTGGGGCTTGAACTCATGAACTGCGAGATCATGACCTGAGCTGAAGTCGGCCGCTTAACCGACTGAGCCACCCTAATAATTTAAATCATCTATGTTCAGTCTTCCCTTTTGCAGGGATAGAAACAGGGGTCAATATCCACCTTTCACAGGTTTTACAGCTAGTTATAAAATACCCCTCTCTATTCCAAGGGGAGCAGTAATTCCTTACATTTTTTAAGGAGACCATATTTTCAAACCCTTTGTCTTTTTCTTGCTCTTCCTTGAATGCTCTGTAATTTATCTTTTAAGTGTAGAAATGGAAATAGGATAAAGTACAAATAATAAACATCTGATCCTTTGAAGAAGGAAACGATCTCCTGCCTTCTAATATCACATTCCTGTTGACATATGCTACTATATAAACCTTCATATAAAATGTTTATATCTTGGGGTGCCTGGGTGGCTCAGTCGGTTGAGTGTCAGACTCAGCTGCAGTCTTCAGCACCGTGTTGGGTTCTGTGCTGAGCCGACGTTGCTGAGCGTGCTTGGGATTCTCTCCCTCTCTCTCTCTGCCCCTCCCCTGCTGGTGCATGCCTGCTCTCTCTCTCTCTCTCAAAATAAAGAAGCTTAAAAAAAAAAGGTTTATATCTTATAGTCCCCCTCCTTTTCTTTTTTTTTAACTTATATTGATTATGGCTAAAGTGACCATAAATACATTTATCTGGAACAGTCCTGGTTTATGCCTGTAATAACTGATAACACTGAATTTCATTTTCAAAAGTAGAGCAGCCCAACTTATGTGGCCCCCCATGTGGTAAAAGAAAGGTTAGTCATGAGCGATCATATGCATGAGTTCCAGCCCCGGAGAGACAGTGCATGGTTCTGTTATTTACAAGCAGCAGGATTTGGGGAAAATTCATTAGTCTCTATCCGCCCCAGTTTCCTCATGTGTGAAAGGAGAGTTCAGTCTTTGAACAAATCTGTCTGAGTGCTTTCAGTGTGCCAGGCCCTGTTTTAGGTACTGGAGTGACAGTATAGAAGATGTCAGTGCTTTTGCCACTGGGGAAAAACAGCTAGCAAAGAACTGAAAACAGATCTTCGATATTTCCAGTGGAAGTACAGAAAAGAAATCTGGGTGTGGAGTGGTGGGCAGGGAGGAGAATGAGTGTCAGGGAAGGACTGTGCTCAGGGATATTCCAGCAGGGACCCGAATGCAGTAGCAGAGCAGGCTGTGTGGACACTTGGCAGAGGGAAAGGCCAAGTGCATAACCTGGGGGGGCGGGGGGGCAGGAACTTCCTTTTGCAGGCTTGAGGAACAGCAAGAGGGCCCGTGTGGCTAGAAAGCAGCCAGGGGGACCGTGATAGGACAAGAGGCTGGAGAGCTGGGAAATGACAGGAGCAGGCGTCTCACGAGGCTGCTGTCATGATTCAATGAGATGATATATTTAAACCTCTTAACGCAGGGCTGGCATATGTTATGTGCTTAATAAACGGTGGTTAGTATGATTCCCCCAGTGTTTTACACGAACTGCAAAACACCGCTTGGAATATGCCGTGTGTGTGCACACGGGCACCCAAAAACAACACGCAGTTTAGTTCTTAAAGACACATTCCCCCCCTCTTTTTAGATACAAATACAGGTGTATCTGTCTCTATGTTTTGAAAGAATTCATGGCAAGAATTCCTCAGAAATCCTCTTCTGTGCCACCCACAGAAAAATGCTATTTCCAACTTTCATGTCCTCCCTCTTCAAAGAACTTGGGAAACGGTAACAGAGAGAAACAAAAGAGGTGGACAGTAAAAAGCACCCTTACGTTGTACCGAACGTCGAGGCCACCGCAGCTTAGGGGATGCTTCTGCTGCAGCCTCAGGTCTCCGTTCACATAGAGCTGGGACCCTGGCACAGCAAAGGAGGACTGGAGAAACGCCATGCTCTGCATCACGAATGTCGACATCCTCTGAAATCATCACAAGGAGAGACGATAGCCATTTCAGTCACATCGGAAGGCTCTGCGTTCCCAGCATCCCTGTCTGTGGTTGCTGCCTACTAGTCCCTTAAACACCAGGGTTAGCCATGCAGGAAGCACCCCGCCCAGAAAACCCTCTGAGCGTCTTAGCAGCTCACCTACATTAATAGGACCCCAATGAGAAGCATTCGATTTCCCTCAATTAAACCCCAAACTACACCTCATAATAGAGCCTTGTGCAGCGTGAGTTTTCCTAGAGATCAGGGAGAGGGCTCCGTTCTATTAAAAGACAAAAGGGAGGGGACGGGCTGCTGCAAGGAATGGACTCACGTGCAATCGGTAGGAGAAAGTCAAGATGAGCTGCACACCAAGAACATGTTCCGTGGACTGCAGAGGAAGCTCCAGTTTAAAATGTAACACGTCCATTTTCCCATCCTGGTTCTTGTCTTCTTCTCGAGTCTAGGAAACCCAAAGAGGGCCAGTGACCCTGGTCCTTAATGAGTCTGGGAAGAAGCCACTGTTGTACACGTGACCCATTCCTTTGCTATTCACAGGATTTATCTCCCCCACCAAAAGAAACAAAGGAATAAATGGGTATAAATGGATCAGTATCAGGGAAAGAGACGCCATGTGCGTGGCCCCTGAGCTTTCATACTAGTGCTTCTCAAACTGAAGAGGAGCTTGAAGCGGCGAGATCAACAGCACCGGGATGGCATTTTTCTTTTTTCGTTGTCTCCTTTGATCTTTTTGGTTTGTTGTGCTGCTGGCGTGTTCTTTTTTCTTTGGAAACACATCTTGAGTTTACATGGAATATTTAAATAGCACATTAGAATTGCCTTCTGCTTCTCTAGAAGTCAGCTTTTTATTTTTATTTAAAAAAAATTTTTTTAATGTTTATTCATTTTTGAGACAGAGAGAGACAGAGCATGAGCAGGGAAGGGGCAGAGAGAGAGGGAGACACAGACGTGAAGCAGGCTCCAGGCTCCGAGCTGTCAGCACAGAGCCTGACGCAGGTTCTAACAACTCACAAACTATGAGATCATGACCTGAGCCGAAAGTCGGGCGCTTAACCGACTGAGCCACCCAGGCGCCCCTAGAAGTCAGCTTTTTTTTTAATTTATTTATTTATTTTTTTTAATTTTTTTTTTCAACGCCATTTATTTTTTGGGACAGAGAGAAATAATGAGAGATGAACGGGAGGGGAGAGAGGAGACACAGAATCGAAACAGGCCTTGCTTTCTGAGTTGAGTCAGCCCAGAGCCGACGCTGCCTCAACTGATGACTCCATGCAGATCGCAGGACTCAGCTGAAGTCGACGCTAATCGACCACTGTGCCACCCAGGCGCCCCAAAGTCAGCTTTTTAAAATAGAAAAAAGGGGAGCTGGGTGGCTCAGTCGGTTGAGCATCCGACTTTGGCTCAGGTCATGATCTCACAGTTTGTGAGTTCGAGCCTCGCATCAGGCTCTGTGCTGTCAGTGCGGAGCCTGCTTCCGATCCTCTGTCTCCCTCTCTCTCTGCCCCTCCCCTGCTTGTACTCTTGCTCTCTCTCTCAAAAGTAAAATAAACATTAAAAAAATTGTTTTAAATAGAAAAGAAATGAATCTTCCTCGTTACGCATTCCCCCAAACAGACTCAGAAGAAAACCACCGAGCTCTACTTATACTTTGTTTAACCACGAGCGTCTTTGCTTTAGACTATTGATACTGGACCTCGTTCTCATCATTGATGTCGGGCTTTTCAAAGCGATTTTTAGTACCAATCAACACAATGAAAAAGGAAGCTATGTAAAATCAGTGAGGCATTAAAACTACACAGATGATTTACAAATTATGGACATGCAAGTAGGGAAAACAGAGACCTAAGGAAGGAAAAAGGCAAATGACGGCTCATAAAAAACACCAGAATCCGGCCTCACCTCCCATAGTCCCACCCCATAGTGACCCTAAAATGAGTAACCGGGAAGATGGTCACTGAAATAAGATCACTGTGACACGATTCCTTGGCACAGCTCTGGATCCTGTTGCTACAAGTGACCCTTTTCCCCTGTAAGTCCTCAGAAAGATTCTACTATGGTATATCAACATTCTCATCTGCATGCTCTGTGAACACATTCATTTTGCTTTCTGCCATTACTACCATGCAAGGAAGAGATTCTTTGTTCTTTTTCGGGCTACTACGGTTGTTTGAGATGAAGCCAGCTCAGTTTTCAGGACCTTTCAATCATGTCTTTCCTTCTAGACAATAATGTCCTTATCCTAGGCCTTGTGACAGAGAAGCCTACCCTCTCTCTCTTCTGTCGGATTCTGTTTTCTCTGTCCTGTTCCATCAGCTTCACAGGTGTAGGGGAGAGATATCTGTTACAAGGCTGGCGATCAAGTCGCTGAGGCAATGAGGTATTAGCAATTTTGAGTAGGATGGGGAACAGGCTGCCTTGTCTTCCCGTGAATTTTCTTTGGTTGGGAAGACTGGCGAGACAAAGTCGCGTTAACTCTATGTAGTGGACCCCTGCCTTCTGGATCTTAGGATTGGAGAGGAAGACAAAGATCAAACGTCTCCACTTGCAGGACAGGAGAGTGGCTGGGATGAGTTGCTAGAAGAATCCAGACCCCAACAGTGTGGGGGGGACAGAAATGCATTTTTTATTTGATCTTTACAATAAAGACTGAGGGAAGCAGAGCGAGTATTATCCCCACTGTATGGACGAGAAAATTGAGGTTCAGGGAGATGGAGGGGTTTGTTATGTGTGGCTAGTAGTGGTAAAGACTGGATTTGAAACCTCATCTTTGACTTAGAATCTCGTCCTCTTTCTAGGACTAAAACACCCAGACTTAAAAAACCAAACACTCAAGGGGAAAACGTTGGGTAGGACAAATCTTTTTGCAAAAAGCCAGCATCAAAGTTTGTAAGTCTGTGTTCTGTCTGTGCACACACTTCTGCTTCAAGTTCACACAGGACAGGGATCTGACACCGGGGAATAATTTAGTGTCTGCCTGTTAAATTCACACGTTACTTTGTCAAGTATTTTTTTAGGGGCCTACTAGGTGCCAGGCACTGTCGGGTGCTGGGAATATAATGGCAACCAAAACAGATGAACTCCTTACCCTAATGGCGCTTTTGTTCCCGGCCAGGGAGGCAGAAGATAAATCAATAAACAAATAAATGTGGTAAGTGCCACAAAGAGAGATAAAATAGGCTGAAATGAAAGAATGACAGGGTAGGATTTCACAGCCATTTTTTACAGGAAATTTTCAGGAATATCTGACTGTGGGAGGCTGGAACGAAGTGAGGTGATGAGGCACAGAAATATCTGGGGTAAGAGTGATCCCTGCTGACAAAGTTCACCCGCTCCGCGCTGTGCGCTGTGTGCAAAGTGGGTCAGTGCTTAAGGGAGCGACGAGGCCAGTGCCGCCGAGTGGGTGAGGAGGGAGGCGGAGGCTGAGGCCAAGGCAGCAGGGGGGTGAACGAATGATGTATGCACTGCATCTCCCACAAGTGCCCGCCGCCAGGTCCGGCTGTCACCCCCGCAGGGTGGGCAGGGTGGGCTGCATTTTTGTGCCAGCACTTGGACCACTGATGACATCCACCATTTCATTCCGCTGAGTTCAAATCAAGCTTAACACATTCAGGCATTCAGAGAGCTAATACTTCTTTAACACAAGTTCAAGGTTAGTATCTAAAACCCAATTGGTGTGTTTGGCTGAGAGAATTCATAAATTACACCAGTACCTTATTTTTACAAGGCATATGTGCAATTTGAAGCAATTTGTATATCCAATGATTGTCCCATCTGATTCCTCTGCATACCTCAGCTATAGTAAAAATTAGCAATAATTAAAAAGAGCTCTTTACAGTATTACATTGAGGCTAAGAAAGGGTATGGGACCCAGTGACAGAACTGGGGCTAGGACTTAGATTTACAGGCTCTATTTAGTGCTCCTTCTACAATAGCCCACAAGAACCTTAATTTCAGGGGCGCCTGGGTGGCTCGGTCCGTTAAGCATCTGACTTCGACTCAGGTCATGATCTCACAGTTTGTGGGTTTGAGCCCCACATCAGGCTTTGCACTGATGGTGTGGAGCCTGCTTTGGATTCTGTGACTCCCTCTCTCTCTGCCCCTCCCCCACTCTCTCTCTCTCTGTCTCTCAAAAAAATAAATAAACATTATAAACTTTTTTTAAAAAAGAACCCTAATTTTAAAGATTTCTGGTGGTTAAAGCAGGATAATCCTTTAGGATATATGTGAAATCAATACAAATATACTAGATGAGATAAATGCAGGCATTGGTAGGTTTAGTCAATTCTCATCAGTGTGCCTAGATCCATCTGGGGCCAATCAGGAAGACAGAAACAAAAGTAAACAATAACTTTAACAGAGGGAGTGTAGTACAGGGAATAATTAGTAACAAAGGTATTAGAGGATCAGAAAGGCAGGAGGGGAGTACCAAGTTAGGGTGACGGCAGGAAGCAGCACCCCACCTAGGTCTGCAGAAGGAAGGGAAGAGGCTGGCATTACCTCAAGCAGCTGGGACCCAGACCTCAGGAGCCTGGAAGAAAGAACCCACCAGAGGGAATCAATAAGGCTGGAGACTTCTTCCTTCGGTTTGCTTAACCCGGGCAATGGTTCTTCCCTCTGGTTGCAGTTTCAAGTTTTCTCCCACTCCCAGAAGTAAGCTCATCATGCCTCCTACAGGCCGAGCCTCACAGAGAGCCAGTGGGCAAAGGAGGATGTGGTTTTCAGCAACTCAGAGAGCAGGACAAGGCAGGGTGGAGGAGGATGGGTGTGGAGCGGAACAAGACCCACTGACATGCACACCAGCTGACTGTGCGAGTTGCTGTAAATTTAATCACCGCCATTACTTCCGGAGGGCTCCAACTTGTAACATTTTCCCCATCGGAGATTCTATAGTATTGATGGCTTGTTGGAATTTTGTTAGGCCCCTGTTTGCTTTCATACCTTTTAATTCTTTCATATCATATTCTTTCATCAAAGGTTAATTTATTAATTTTTTTCAAAGGATTTTATGTTTAAGTAATCTCTATACCCAATGTGGGGCTCAAACTCACGATCAAGAGTTGCATGGAGTACCAACTGAGCGAGCCAGGTGCCCCAAGTTTAATTTCTTAGTGTATACCAGTGTCCATCGTGCTGTATTACTTGTCATCATTAGGTGTTTCATTTTTTTCTTTTAATGTTGAAAATATTCTTTGGCACAGTCTTTCGGTCTCCAGCAAAGTAGGGACCAATACTTTATGGCCCCTAGACTCATCAAATCCTTGCTACCTGCATTTCAATGAACCTAAGATACCAACAATTATAAAATGCACCGTTACTTTATATCCTAGCACCTATTATATGGGCACCTGGATGGCTTGGTCAGTTGAGTGTCTGACTCTTGATTTCCACTCAGGTCACGATCCCAGGATCGTGGAATTGAGGCCGACGTCAGGCTCGGTGCTG